GAAATTCCGAAATGCGTTTTCGTTTCGAAAAGATTAATTAGATAGGGTTGTAAAACTAATCAGTCTGTAGTATAATTCTATAATAATTCAGTTACCTCAGGATTCCAGCTTTCGAATGAACTTCTTTTCGGCAGCATGCAGTAACGACGCTTTGTAAAAATTACTACATAAGTAGCATGGATTGTTCCGATTGATTTTCGGTGCCCTTAAAAATTAAATTATATTCCATGGAAAACATGCATAAAAATATTCATTTTTTCTCTCGTTCGGTAGAAAATTATGTCTTTTTCGATTTTCTACTCGAAGAAAGGGTATAATTAGGTTTTGAAAGACTTCTCCGATCCGCGAATAATTTTGAAATCGACCTGCCGTTACACATGCTTTCAGGGTTTTCAAAGTACAAACCGTATATTTTCCGCGTACGGAAGATCGTAAATTTATCTACGGTATCCAGAGGAGATCATATGGGGTTCATAAGATTAAGTAGTGAATTTGAGCCATATTGTTAATTTTGTAAGCAACAATAGTAAATGCAGAGACGGGACGTTTTGTGAACGGCCATTTCACGGTATTTAAAAATCTCACAATTAGAAACTTTTTCAAAACCAAATTATACCCTTTCTTCGAGTATAAAGTTGGAGGAAGACGTAGTTTCCTACCAAATCAGTAGAAGAATGAATATTTTTATGCATGTTTTCCATGAAATATAATTGACTTTCTAAAGGCATCGAAAATCAATGAGAAAAATCCATGCTGGATAAGTTGTCATTTTTTACGGACTGTAGTTCCTGCATGCAGCCGAAAAGAAATTCGTTCGAAAGCTCGCATCCGAAGATAGCTGAATTGTGATAGAAGTATACTGCATAATGATTGGTTTTACAACCATACTTAATTAATCTTGTTGAACCGAAAACGCGTTTCGGAATTTCGGTTGACATTTTATGAGTAAGCCCACCTACAGTACTTTTTACCCACCGAACAAACCACCAGCAAGGTGACGAAACGGAGGAAGTCACCGTGATCACCGACAGATCACTTAGGGTTGATACGAGTAGGGGACTTTAAAAGCCGCGAAGATCTTTGCTGCAGAGAAAATATCAGTGGATGTAGCACTCAAGTAAAAACATGAGGTTGTGTAAATTTAGATGGTTTTCCAGCTGAACAAGTGAAGAATGTGATATCCACCGCTTAACTCCAGGAGGGCCATTTTTAAAGCTCTGCGACGTGAATAACAGCAACGTAACGCAAAAGGGCACATATTTTGACACGATTAAACCAGACTACCCTTGTTCCAGGACCTCGTAAGGGACTGAGACCAGAAACTAACGAAGGAGTGGATCTCTAACCTTAGTCAGCGACATCTAACTATGAGGGAAACCCATAGGAACGCCTAGATCGCATGTGAACGCGAACACACGTGACGGTAGTTCGAGAATGTTTGAATGCCATTGTTAGTCGTACGTCCGCATAAAGAGGCACATGAATGGCCTACAGGTCATGTGATAACTGTGAGCTCTATTTGAAATTGCTGCGCGTTTTGACTGCATTACTGCTTACGTGCGAAAAGGACAGCATGACAATAAGACCACTAAGTTGCGACACCTGTGTCTCCTTTGGCACACAGTATTGCAAGCGGCGCTACACACCGTGGTGGATCTAGACTTATGAACACGAGTACAGTGCAATCGAACACGACTGCTAATCGCAACTTAACAACATAATAATTAATATGTCTGACCCCAGATTGCAGTCATTTTCGAAGTAAATATATGGCATGGGTTGACTAACCAATAGTTGAAATCTCCGGACACATACGAGTGATTCACCGTGATGGAAATGCGATCCCGAGGTGGCATATCAAAAGAAGAGAAGGCATTCACCTGGAGAGGTTTAGTTAAGGCCTCCCGTTTCCGGTAGTGATTCCGCCTACCCATCTTCAAACTTTGGAGAGTCTTGTGGTAACGGTAGGATGAAAGACCCCACGTAGCTGGCACCTCCAATATGTACACTAAAATGCAATGCGATTGTAATAATCAGAATGGCATTACTGGCAAAGACAAGACAGATGGTGATGGCCATTTCTGCCTTATTAGCCGTCGTCAGACATACACAACGTCGGAGTGTGGAGCACCTGGGGTCAAGTGAGCGCCCCTCTTTACCATTGTATATTGCCGATCGCAACCGAAAGGACAACGAGTTCGTGGCTCAGTGGCTAGAGGCGTTGGACTTCCGTCTAACAGGTCGCGAGATCGAGCCCCAGGCGTTCCACACCTCGGGGTTGGGCATGACTGGCTGCCAAAAAATGGCCATTCCAGTCTCCCTTGTCTTTGTTAGTAATAACATCCTGCCTATATCATGCTCCGCTGTGCGGCTGCTGGTTGGGCTCGAGAGAGAGAGAGCCCGCAAAGCTCAACAGAACGAGTGAGTTCCGTATGAACGATCGGTGAGCGCCCCTCTACCACTGTAATCACCACCGTTCCCATTGGTTTAAATTTCGATGCCTTCTTGACTAAATGTAAACTTACTAGCGGCGCTTTATTCAAAATCCGTCATTCTTTGAAAATTGTATTTTCGTTTATTTCTTTTATTATCGCACTTGCTCTCCTCCCCAACTGACAGCGTACAAAAAGACTTCTGGCAGGAATTTATCAGTTTTCTGTGTCGCCCCGCTCTCTGTTCTGTTTGTTGGCCCACCCGTAAAACCTTCTCTACCACTACTTAAACTACGAAACGGTCCACTGGCTAGCTCAACTTAGTTGGGGTCCAACACCCTACTTTTACCTGTCCCGTGGACAGCTTCCATCATTTGATGCATCTTTCATGATGAGCAGCCCGCCAGTGCTGATTATGGAGTTTACTCGGCCGCCTGCTTCACTATGACCTCTGCTGCTCCGCGCCCTTGTTGATCGCG